CATTTGTAGCTTATAGCGATGTAATCGATCTGAGTCCGTATCTGGTTAGAGGAGGGCGGACGCCAAGTGGCACACCGGCAGCTGGATCGTCCGAAGTTCGTACAAGCAAGGAATATGCGGTGGTCGGAACAAAGAGCCAACAACCGTTCCCGATTTTCCGAACGACAGGAATCCAGTCCGAAAGGACCACTCAGATGCGCCTCACTCGAAGTCAGTCGGCCTACTCTAGCATTCAGGTCTCCTGCTAAAATCACGATATCAGCCCGACTCGCTTTACGTAAGAGGTCGTGTGGGCTATGAAAAAATTCGTCTTTGTCTGTATATGGGCTACAGTCCGTTGGAGCGTACGCCGACACGACAAACAGGTTTCGTTTATCGGGGCGACGGCTGTTTACTTTGCACAAACCTCTAAGTCTCACTGCGCACAACCTACTGTCGACTGGGATCCAGTCCAGAAGCGCGGCTTCAGCTCTCTCACTGAGAGCCACAACAACGCCAGAAAGACCGGAAGCCGCAGCCTCAGGGTCCACAGAGAGGCGTAAGTGAAACTTCACTGATGGGTTTGATGGGGACTTCAATCGGATAATAGAGCTGGAGTCCCTAATGCGAGTCTCTTGGATACAACACATCGATGGCTAGGGTCTCGAGCGTACGAACTAAACCGGCCTGTTGTCCTATACACATTAGAGTGCGCACATTAAATGTGGCTAGTTTAAAAGGACATCGAGAGCGAAGAAGGGCTTCAACTGGTTGAGGAATCGGCGAGACTTGGACAGTGGTCGAGGCAGGACATGAGGGAACAGCGGCAGAGTTTCCATCTGAGGCACTAATGTTTGCACGATCGTCTGAGGATTCCGAGAAAAGGGGTGCGTGACGAGGGCGGATGTGTGATGGGGGAGGGCTGGGAGGACGTGAGTGTGTGTGCGATGTAAAGTGTTTGCCTTTAGTTGCAGAAACAGTAAACTAAATGCGCGAAGAGGTCGAAGAGTTCATCATTGTTGGCGTTGTGGGCTGTTGTACTACTCGGTCGCCCGGTCCAGAGTAGGCCTTGTTCGAGGGTGCACTCTAGCCTTTGCGCAACCAAGCGCTGACTGCAANAACCCTTTCCAGGGGTAAACCCACCACATCCTCGAGCGCTGCAGCTGATCGTCCGCGACCGCTTATTCGGAGGGCCGAGGCCCACCTTATTCACGGTTAGCCGTGAGATGACGGCCGTTCCCCTATCCGCGACCTGGGGACGTGCTCGGTAGCATACAGCTCTGCTCTCCCTACAGTGTCTACAGTTACAAACACACAGATATAAAAGTTTCCTGTCATGTTTTAGCGCAAATGAACAAGCTATCTATAACTAAATAGATAGCATTTCAAGCTTCTGGCCAAGCGGACAAATAGAGTGCACCAGTTAGAGGACACAACTCCGGAAAAAGAATGTCACGAAACAGTACAAATCGAACCACTCAATAACCAGTGTGAGCAGGTTAAGTCCCTAGCCAGAGCTTCAGCCTGAAACGTAAAGTAAAATTCCACCAAAGTGGCACATCAATGACGCAACGAATCAGGCTACATGTGAAAATAATCACAGCTCCACTGAACCTGATGAGGACTTGAATATTGATTAAACAGGACTGAAGCTTGTAGCAACATCGTAGGCGAAAAACGCATCCCAAACATAACCACAATGCAATCCATTATCCCCAAGTGGGTTGGTAACTTAATTCAACTTGCGCTGAACAAGTTTATGTCATCCATTGTGGAGTTGTGATGCCTGTATTGTTTGTATTGGGTAGTGCACATACTTGAAATGATTAGATTGTTGCACGGAGCCGACTGCAAAACAGTCATTCGCCTACGAATTGAAGAGGACGAATCAGGTGAACATGATTTGACTTTGATCAATAGACATAGGTACATAACACCCGAATGTCTTTTTGCCTGTAACAAGTTCACTGCTATCGTTCTCCCGTGAGGGTGAGACAAACTGAGAGAGCAAATCAACTAAAAAGTCAAGGAGGAATGTGGAGTAGGAGTGAAAGAAGAAAAGAGCACCTCGAAACAGCACCACCCGCATTATCGAACCGGGGTGAGCGAGTGGTATATGCCTGGGATGGCATTCGATCATAAACGTGGACAGTGAACTGAGGCAAATCTCACTCACGCAGTTCGCCAAGAAGCAGTATAAGGAAACTGGGTTGAACGGTTCAAAGGTGGCTTTTTAATTGGTCGGTTATGAAAAAAAACGAGACAAAGAATAGTGCGTACACTTTTCGTTTCACAGAACATTCGTGCATTGTGGAGCTGTCGACTGGAAACTGATGACAGATTATTTCCAAGTATCAAAAGCAAACAGGAACCAGATATAAGTTTTATTAGGGAATGGTAGAATAAACTGCATGCATACACCATCTATACAGCTGAGTTGTTATCCACTGGACATAATATATTTCATACATTAAGTACGAAATTGTACTGGAAAATTCAGCTAAACTTTAAACTGTGGACGTACGGAAGTGACAAAACACATTTACTCACAGGATTTCAACTGATGGAAATAATTTAGTTTATTGGAAAACACGATTCGATTTCGCCAATTAAAATAGAAATGTGTAGAACCCACAACGTAATGACAAAACTAACTAGGCCGAGAAGCAAACTGAGTAGATTTTTATTTGAAGACAACGAACTATTGCGTAAAACAGATGTCTTGAATAACAGTAATCAACGGTCTTCATACCGAAAAACTGACAATTGATCGAATGCCCTATTACTGGATTCTGTTCCAGATTATTCTCAAAAGGGGTAAAGCATAAAATTTGTTTATGCTGCGTGATATGGGCTATTCAATCATTCCTATTTCGACACTGTTTATGACAGTTGCTTATCAACGGGAAACCATTTTTTCATGTTCTTTTATTATGCCCACCAGATTGTGTGCTCGAATTCATGTTTCGGAAAGAGAGCATGTTGAGAATAACGGTTAACGCAGTGAAAATCCGAAGCGAGGTCTCGGTCGCAAATTTATTTCAAAACTTACCGTTTCGGAAAATACTGCCCAACATACCATAGGACTCTTCCATGTTATGTGCCACCTCCTGAAAAAGGAAAAAGGAAATTTAATGGTTGTTTTCTGTTCAACCATTTTTACTGAACTCCGGTAAAACTGTGCTAAACCTGTGAAACAAGAAGACTTAGATCAGATAGCTCCACTCAGATGCTATCAGTAATCATGCCGTGGGTCAATGAAATAATATTATCCTCGCATTCATAGAACAGCAACTCAAAGCTTAGAGAATCACTGGTTTCGATATCACGTTCCCAAAACACATCGTAACGCTGATCTTCTACTTTTATCAATGCCGGTAACACAAAAACTGTCAAAGGGGAATTTCGAAACTAGCTTCAAATTAGAATCAGTTAAAATAAAGAACGTGGCACTGTCTAAACTGCAAAAAACTGGAATCACCCTTAATGATAATAACTAAGTGATTTTACTTCCATTTTTGTTTATTGATTAGAGAAATGGACAGTAAGCTTTCAAGAAGGGGGTCGTGGCTATACAAAAGCTGAATGGGGAATACTGATGATGGGAAGATAGGCGGTGGTGTTAGGGTTTGAACTTAGGACCTCCAGATGGTTATTTCGAGGATCTTACCGCATGAAACAGGTACCTATTGGTTTCAATAGCCGATAAAAAATATTACGATATCAGACCTGCTAATTCATTGCGAATCAGTCATACTTGAGTATTTAGAGTGCAACAGCATAACCCCAAATGGTTGTCTTGTGTTCTTTGCTATTTAGATAAGCCATTGGTTGGTTAGTGTCACGTACGTCAGCTGACCAACACGAAAACTGGATCACCAGATAGTGGTTAGTCAACAACCAGAAAACTCTTCAATCACATTGAACAATTTGTCAGGATCGCTGGATTACAAGGCAGTAATTTGATGTCAACAACAGAAATTTTTTTAAATAATCCCGGCCATTTGATAAAGGGACGATAGAACCGATTTAAAAAACTCATATCCTGACTCTTGATTAATGGATGAATCCTAAATGGAAAGCAAAGCAGTTCAAAAAGAAGGATACTATCTAATCTATCTATCTATCTATCTAATCTGGCAGAAATGAACCAACGAATACTTTATTTGGGACCAATTCGGTAATTATTACGGATATTTGCGATTATGTAATAGAGACACTAAATAGGAGACAATATATACACCATCCATCTATTAGAAATATGCCAAGCAGATCACTCTTCAATAGTAAAATCGATACAATTCCGTCCTGTAAGAGTGAGCACAAGTTAACAGAATTTAATTAGCCTAAATGCGTGAGGCAAGACACGCGTTAAAAAGACCAAGTCAATGG